TGTGTGTGTGTGTGTGTGTGTGTGTGTGTGTGTGTGTGTGTATAGGATATAATGTATTGGACATAAGTGGAATTGCCTTATATCTTGGTATATTTCAAGTCATTTTTTGGTTTGTGGTTTCCATCTTAAGGAAAATCATGACATATTATGATATTCCAGTAGATAGATTCCTAGCTATTTGTGTCTCTCCTCAGTATTTGTCTTTGTTCCAACTAGAACACACTGGGCTATGGGTAGAAGCCTGTGTACGTTTGGGTTTGGGGCCCTAGGATGCTTTCCTGGTTGGGCAAGACATAAATGAAAAGAAGAACATTATCAGTTTTCCCTATGTTTTATTCCCTAAAACCAAGTATGAGAGGCATAATTCTCTCTTGAGGCAAAGGTTCTTTCAGGGTTCCCGTGCTGCAGCAGCAGCCTTCTCAAACTTAATTGCCTTACTTGGTTACCTAATCTAATTTAGTGGGTGTGTGTTTTCTGTTGTTACCCAAACACTGTAAGTCAGAGGTTTCCAAACTTATTTGGCCTACTGCCCCCTTAAAAAAAATTTACTCAGTGGCGCCCCCCCCCAAAATCTACTTTCTTTAACCCTTTAATGGTTTAAAAAATTGCATTATTTCAGATATATATTCATGAATATATATAAAAAACACATCTTAAATTTAATAATTTATTGTAAATTTGTGGGTTTTTTCCTACATTGAAATTTTGATGATGCAGTATTGTATCATGTAGCCATATAGTATTGTATGGTAAACAAATCATTACATGCACATATTCTGCCGACGCATGCTGGCCTTCCTGGCAGTGTACGACACACTCACCTGCCAACACTTACTTGTTTTTGCTTTTTTTTTTTTTTCTTTTGGTGAGGCAATCGGGGTTAAGTGACTCGCTAAGGGTCACGCAGCCAGTTAACTGTCAAGTGTTTGGTCTTAGGCTGGATTTGAACCTAGGTCCTCCTGACTCCAAGGCTGAACTTTGTCCACTGTGCCACCTAGCTGCCCCACCAGCACTTAACTTGTTAAGACTTGTTGATGGACTTGACTGCTGATCAGTTATGACTTGCATTTTGTACGTTTATTTAGAAAATAATGTAATCACTATGACTTTTAACTCTGTTACACAAGAGATGAAACATACGAATAGTTTTTCAAAATTCTCTTCTTTTATTCAATGCCACAAAATTGCACTGAGGCTACTAATGCCCCCTGCCCCCCCAATCGTTCCAGAACCCCCCCTCCCCCAGGGGTGGTATCACCCACTTTGGGAACCTATGCTAAGTTTTGTGGTGTTCTAATCACATCATTTTGAAGTGTCTTTGTAGATAACCCTTTCTAGCATAGTAGTATGGGTCTGAAAGATTGGCCTAAGTCGCATCTGAGCTGGTTTTGAAACATTTCACAGGCTAGCATCTGATAGGGAGGTCTAAACAGATTTCCTGATTATTAACAACAGTTTATCCTAACTTCTCATTGCAGGAAGATTATTGGAGTATTGAGGGCAGGAAGGGAGCAGAGGGCCCCAAAGTGTCCAATCATCAGCTCATTTGTATCAGGTTCCTTCTAACTCTTCTAGTCATACTGCATTTTACCCTGATGCAGGAGAGTGGTGTTTCTTCCCTTAATCATTCCTTCCTTTCTTCTCTCCAAGGCAGCATAGTATGCTTTCATTGTAAGAAACCTTAGAAGTCGTCTTGTCTTTTTTAGCTGAAGCTTGAATCTCTTCTACAATATCCCTGACAGCTGGTGTTTGAACTTCTTTATTGATGAGAAACTCAAAATTTTATAACGTGGCCCCATTCTATTTTTGGATTGATCTCTTATGATTATTACTCAAAACAATTAGCATTTATATAATGTCTTAAGATTGGAATGGCACTTTACATACATTTTTATTTGATACTTATAACAAGCCTTTGGAATAGGCCCTACACATAGTAGTATCCCCATATTACCGATAAAGAAACAGGTTTATACTTATTCTTGCCCATAGTCATATGGCTAATAAATGTCAGAGATAGGAACCAAACCTAGGTCTCTTGACTCCAATTTTGTTATTCTTTCTATTATTATCACTTNAAAGAAACAGGTTTATACTTATTCTTGCCCATAGTCATATGGCTAATAAATGTCAGAGATAAGAACCAAACCTAGGTCTCTTGACTCCAATTTTGTTATTCTTTCTATTATTATCACTCGCCTCTTTTTAGAAAGTTCTTCCTCATTTTGAGCTAAAGCTTATCTCTGTAAATTCTTCCCATAGATGCTTATGAAGGCATCTCAGTAGCAGAAAAAGAAACAGGCATTCTCATGGCTTTTGTCCTTGCCCTGAAACATTCTAGTTTCTGATTTCTTCGCTCAACTGAAATTTCTGTGTTCAAAATGCACAGTGATCTAATTGCCAGATCATAAGGTTTTTTATTAATCTTTCATCATTCTTCTCTGTGCCATTTAAAACTGTGATCTTCCTGGATACTTTCTCCTGTTTTGGTTTTTATAACTTCTCTTTCTTGGTTCTCCTAACTCCTTGACTGCTGCCGATTCTGTTCTGCTGGATCATCATATGTATCTTGCGCCCTGTGGTGATATCTCCAGGGCCTTGTACAGGGCCCTCTTATTTCTCTGCATTTGGTGACCTGGTCATTTCTACACAGCTGACTCCCAAATCTATATATTCACCTGTAATCCCTTTCATGAGCTCCAGTCCCAGCAATACCATCTAACTGTTAGACATTTCAAAGTTTATATCCCATGGGCATCTGAAACTCAACATGTCCAAAACAGAACCCATCATTTTTCCCCCAAAAAACAATCCTTCTTTTTAATTTCGTTATTGCTGATGAAGGCACCACCATATAGTTATGTAGGTTTGTAACCTTCATATAATCCTCAGCTTCTCATTCTCACGCCACATAACCAGATTATCTCCTCAAGATCTCTAACATCCCACCCTTCTCTTCCCTGGACCACCTCCACATGACCACCACACTATGGTCACCTCCTGCCTGAACTATTGGGGTTGGTCCTTGACTAGTCTCTGTGCCGGAGGTCTCTCCCTTTTCCAATCCATCCTCCATACAGCTTCCAAAGTGACATTCTTCGAGCTTAGGTTTGACTATCACTCCCTTGCTCAAACTCCAGTAACTTCCTGTTACTTCTAGGATCAAATAAAAACTCTTTTGTTTGGCATTTAAAGCCCTTCACAATCTTGGTTCTAATAGATGATAATCAGGACCATACTGCAAATATTTGGCTTCTTGATCATCACTTTATTTTTGGTTTGTCAGATGCCCCGAAAGCTCAGTGGCTATATTGCCTCTCCTTACCTTCACAATCCAGTTACAAATATTTATTAGTTGTCTGCTATATGCAATGTGC